TTTGCAGATGATACTTGATTGCTCTAATTTGTATGCAGAGGGTTGAATCTACCGCCCATTCATGTCATCTCCGAGACAGCGCTACGCTTGGAACCATAATAAACTTTTGTTCGAACTCAAACTCTACATGGAGCACTAGATGAATGCTATGATACCCTGACGACATTGAAAATTGATAAGGATGAACCATATGGTTTTAATAGACACCAATGCCACGTACAGATGCAAGCGGGGAAGGAAAATCGATCACAAGGATTCACCAGGCCAGAATGTGAAGACAATTACAACTCAGAGGAGGAGGACTTAGGCTGCAGCGTTTCGGCGAATCTGTTCTTGTATAGTCACATTGTAAGCGGTATGCGCATCAAGACGATCCATCTTGCGTTCGAGAGTCTTAAGACGGTTGTCCATTTCGGCAAGTCTTATACGACATGATGAGTAAAACCGGTTTAGAAATTCTACAACTGTTTTCAGGCTTGTGCATATCGTTTCGATGTTTTCTCGATTTGTCCAGTCCTCCTGAACCTCACTAGGGTAATCTGCAGGCTCCATTGTGCACAACGAGGCTAGTGGTGTAGGAACGACATTTGATAGAAATTTAGGTGATCTGACGCCCCCTTCTATGAAACAAGCTGTCGCGTTTCATTGCAGCAACGAATTTTGAAGTTACTATTACTATTACAATATTTTCGACTCAAAGTGCCATAATATACTAAATGTGTCCAATACGTACATAAAGCTCAAAGCTGCTCCTGCTAATCGCGTTTACATAGCTTCCGAATGGTGTGCTGAGGTGAACTGCGAGCAATGGTATTTATATGGCCCTTGAAGAGGAGAGGTAGATTTGGATTACGAATACTGTGTTGAAGGAGCGTTCGGAGCCTCCTCTGGGTTAGTGTTGGAAACTTTCTTTGTAGTACCAGTAGATCTCCCTGCACGCTGTTTCAAGTGCCTAACAAAACTTCCTTGAGAAAACCTCCACTTACCAAGGGTGAGGTGCGAGATCTTGAGAGTAGGGTCGGGGATGCTGCATTGAGAAATCGAGACATTGCTCTTTATGGGCTCGGAACGGATTTTCATGTGTTCCTTACCTCGAGGTAGCACTGTACTTGTAATGTTCGCCCAGAAATTTTTACCAAGTCCCGATTGTAGCGTTCCGGGATTTCCCATAAGGTGGAACAAGGCAGTAGGTGAGGCTGGATACATGTATTCCGAAGAAAACGGAGCAAATGGGCCTGAGCATGGCCCAAGGGCCATCCCACGAGAACAAGAGCTGGACAAATCCTAAATCTACCATCAAACGTTATGTGGTTACGTAAACAAAGGTTGGGTTAACTTGTGTAAAGGAGGGCGGCGACATTATAACCGAGGATCTATATTGAACATACTATGCCTGCGTCTGTTTACATTCTCAGTTTAAGCACTGTCTTGGACTCTCCAGTCTGCTGGTCTCTTACGCCAGCCATTACATTATGGTCGTTGACTAAATGACTTTTAGCTGCGTGGGGAAACTGTTTGCTTCTAACGTCATCGGAGCATTTATCTGACGCGGGAATTTCACCACGTTTGCAAGCGCATTTATTATAACACCCGAAATGCTTATAAGCATTTGTACAATAAACCCTATCATACTGGTACCGTAAGAATCTTCATACAGGCTCGAATCCTTTGGATTTTGCTTGATATTATTTATACGTAGTGTAGCGTCCCGAGACTTCCTAACCGCTATAAGAAGTCAGTAAGTGCAGCTGAATACATGTATTCTGAAGACGATAGGGCATATGGGCCTGGGCATGGCCAAAAGGCCAGCCCGCGTATACAAGGGCCAGGCAAATTCTAAAATGACCGCCGAACGCTACATGGCTTTTCGCTTTTGAATGGTTACCAAAGGCAGATATCGTTGCATCAATTTTACTAAGAGGCTTTGTGAATACTCGTTTTTGGGGACTTTAAAGGTGGGTAATCATTAAGAAACTAAAAAATTGAATCAACCCATAACAAGTAACGGTAGACAAGAAAGGAATTTCAGCTATGTCAAAGCTCAAATAAACTTTGTTAGTCAATTTTTACTCTCGT